GACATCCGCAAGAACTACTTCACAGTTAGGGCGGCTAGGAGCTGGAACCAACTTCCAAGGGAAGTGGTGCTGGCCCCTACCCTGGGGGTCTTTAAGAAGAGGCTGGATGCCTACCTGGCTGGACTCATTTGAGTCCCGTTTCTCTTTTTGGGGTTTTTTTGTTGTTCTCCCGCCCTGGCGGGGGGTCGGGCTAGAAGATCTACTAGGTCCCTTCCGACCCTTAATCTATGAATCTATGAATAAGCCTGGTCTTCTGCAAAACGCTATACATAAAGATTCTGTGTTTTCTTTGCACTGACTATGTAATGGTGTGTTTGTCCCAAGGTTTTTTTTCAGCTTGTCAGCTAGTATTATCTTCCTGTTTTTTAAGCTGTGGTATCACTGAAGGACCAGTTTCACATCCAAATTATGCACAATGGACTATATCCTGGTGTAATTCCCTGGATTTTAATGGCTTTATACTAGGGATGATTTAGCTCTGTATAATTGACACTGCTAAGCATGGAATTTGCTTAGCACAAGTTAGGAAGTAAGAACATCTTGTACTGGCCAAAAGCCTTTTGGCTTTCAGGGTAATAATAATGCAATAATAATACGCTATGATACGTTTGTATGTTAGATTGTTAGTGGTAAGCAACAACATTTCAGAAACTACTTAAAAAGTCTCAATAAGGTTGATTAGTTAGGTTATACTGACAGTAAAAACTATGCTACCTTTTTCATCAATTATGAAAATGAAATTCAGAATTAAAATGGAATATCTGGACTGACTGCACCTTAACTTTGCTTTTTCTAGCTTTTAAGAAAATACAATAAGCCTTTAAGAAAAATCGTATTTCTGGGCATAACTAGGAAGCCATCCATGTATTAACTAACTACAGTGTCCCTAGGAGTTATGTGTATCAGACTCCTCAGAAACAGCTCCACTGGTGCTTCTGTCTTGTGCAGGTAGAGCAAGTGGAAGAGAGAAGTGCTACAGTATTTTTGGGGGACTCTCCACATGCACCCATTCACTTTGCATACTCCCTTTACAGACTGAAGAGTGTGCATATATGAGCACAGCTAATCCATAAGAATCTAAAGCTATGAGATCTTTAATAGTGACCTGCAAAAAAGCAAAACAAACAAAATGCCTAACAAAACCCCCCAAGCCCCTGCCTGTACTGGTTTTCCTGCTTCGTTGCTTTAAAACATGGTCTAAATGGACTTTTTCTCTGGTTGCTTTTCTGTTAACAATTCAGATCCTATCTGTGCTGCACTATTTATCTTCAAGGCTAGAAGTGCTAGGCTTTTTCTGAACACGAAATTTACTCTGGTTTAACTAAAATTGGTTTAACTGAACTGTTGCAACACTGTCTCTGAAAGCTATGGGATCAAATTTGTCAGGCTTGAATCTACTTATTTTAGTTTAAGTGGAACTAATATAAGTTTGTTGAAAACCATTACAAGTTGCAAGATAGGAGGCTGTGCCAGTTAAACTGATATGAAACCAGATTTTGTTGGAGCAGGGCAATATTTTTTTTTTTTATTAGCCTAATACAGCTGGCCTCCGCAGTCCTTTTTCCCACCAGGTCTGCTAAAGCTATTTATAGCCATAATTATGTTACTAGGACAGGACAGTGTGTCCCCAAAGTACAAGTCGCAGAACCTGTTTGTTTCTTGCAGCTTCCTGTCTAATGATAGACTGCTCACAGGGGTGGATCCAGTATTTGGCAAAGCAGGGTGCAGGAACAGCTACTTAGGCTGCTGGGTTGGCTCCCAGCTTCTTTACATCATCTCTGCTTCCACCCCCCCCCCCCC